CCCCTGACTGGATCGTCAGGATGGCAGAAAGGATGCGTGCGTAGGAGACCAGCACCAGGCAGAGGGGCCCCAGTAAAATAAACACACAGGCAGCAAAGATGACAACTTGGTTGAGCCGAGTGTCAGCACAGGCCAGCTTGAGGACAGACAGGATTTCACAGAAGAGGCGGTCCACCTCCCAGGGTCCACAGAAGGGCAGCCTTAGAAGGAGCATCGCATGTACCATATATATATCTATAGTGTGTATGTGTATCTTTTATTATTTTCTTATAGTAAATTTCTAGACATGGGTCTAGTTCTCAGTGATCAGAAATTTCTAGTTCTCAGTGAAATCTATCATTTACCTATCTATCTCTATCTCCATCATCATCATCTATCTTTAAAAAGCAAATAGGCAAAAAAAAATCAAGATATATCATCATTAGAAGAAATTATTCAATGGGAGTCTCTAATTTAGCAATCATGACGATGCAATCGCAAGTTCACATTACTTATCAAGTTGTTCCACGTTAGCTTTTCAGCTTCGATCATGCTGACCCTCCTATTTTAATATAATTTAGTCAAACTTGTGTCAAATGTACTTCCTTAGGTTCATCCTTACCTCAACTTCATATTAAATACCAAGAAAGAATAAGAAGAGTTCATGGAAAGTGAGGCTTCATGAAGCTTAAGTATAATCTGACTGCAATGTATGTTCACTGGGTTAAATCTGTCTCTCTTAGTCCACTTATGACCTTGAGCTATCCACCTTCTAATCTATAGGAACTGATGACAACTCTATGGGACACTTGTCTGTGTTTCTTATTACCCAGAATCAAAATGGTTCCGTGTGGAAGTAGCTATCTCAACACCCACTATTCAGGATTTCCTTCCTAAACATCTTTTTACATATTAAGACCCAAAGATACAAATTTCTCACTTTGCTTCTAAGTCTATCATTTTCTTCTTAATTCCAGTTTGTGGCCCAAGAAGTATTCCTGTTTCCTAGAGAAATGACTTGACACTTACGGCCTGCACCGTCCATCACTAAGAGGTGTCTTTACGCACATAGTCGTTCAAGTACACACTGGTTTAATATAATCAACACCACAGCTGCTAAGGACAAAATGGTGTGTCACTGATGTGACTTTTATCACTCATGGCCAAAACATGTTTTCTACACAGCTAATGTATTTCTAGATAATACGAGATACATCTCTTAAAATGATATAGTTTTAATTTGTACTTTTTTACTTTCTTTTATGCTTGTGGAAGTAATTAGTAATAAAAATATTCTAGAAATTATTATATATGTCACTGTGGAGAATATCAGGTTTAGGTACATATAAATTCTGAAGCAGGCACATACTGAGCTGCAGCGCATATGAGTCCTGCCAAATACTAGTGTGGTTACACGCTGTGTACTTATTCACTAGTGTCATTGTATGAATGCAAAGGGGTGCTCAGAGAGCAGCAGGTCGTAGAGCTCCCCATCTGAGGGGTTTTCTTGAAGCTCACAACCAGTTAAAATAAAAAGGAAGGTGACACGCCACTTACTCCTCTCTAGACACCATTAAAAGTCTAGGTGACAAGCTGCCTATAAAGAGGGTCTTTTTCTTAAAACAAACAAACAAACAAACAAACAAAAACATGTATTCAGGTATGAAACATATAAAAAGCTTACATATTTAATGTATAAAACTTGATGAGTTTGGAGCTAAGTATACACCTGTGAAACCATCACCATAATCTATGCCATAAGCATATATATCCATTGCCTCAAAAGCTCTTGTGGAGAAGGTCTTTTTCTACTCTAGGGAGCTAGAGCAATTTAATATTAGGAGGCCTTTTAGTCACCCATTAAATGTATAGGCTTGGACAATGATAACAATAAAAAAGAGTTACATTCTTACCATGAAAATCTGTATAATGTTCAAGGTAAAATCAAAGATGAAGTGGGGTTTGATACCAATTATCATTTATATTAACTGACATGATTCCTTTAACTGGTTAAAATAATCCTGTGAGTGGGTAATATATATTGTATTTATGTCTTGTGTTCAGCAGAGCTAATATAATTCCAGATGAAACAGGCACCCAACAAGTATGTATTAAATGGAAGAAAGTAATTTGTAATTCACTCTCTCTCTCTCATCTCCCCCACTGCCATGTGTGCATATATATTGGGTCACATACTGCATTACACTATATCCACAAAGATTTTCAAATATCTCAAGGGTCATAAACCTGAAAGAGATTTCAAAACTTACAGTATCCAAACTATTAAAATCATTCCAGTTTTATGAATTCATGCTTCTCTAGTCTCTATAAGCATCTTCTACCATCAGTTTCTACCTTTTGAACAAAATATGAATTCTACTTTACTAGGAAAAAAGTTCACAATTAGAATTTAATCACTTGAAAATTGCTATGAATTCAAAATGCTATGCATAATTCATGTAATTTAAATACAGTGTGTCTATAGGGTATTCTTGAATAAGCTTGAAGATACCAATCATATTATAACTGTAGAGAGAATGGCAATACCTAAATGAATTCATATCTTATTCCTGCTTTGAAGTGATTCTTATAAGAAAGTTTCAGAAAAAATTTATTGAAAAATTAGTTTACAGAAAAGTAAAATAACCTAAAAAGGAAACTTGAAAACATACGTGGCAGCATTTTGAACTTTGGCAAATTAGCAACTTAAAGGGACATCAACTATGAAGGCAGTGGCCCTTTCTGAACAATGGCTCAGATAAAATGGAGAGTCAGATCTCGATCCCTGGGTTTCTATAAATATAACTGCATTTGCAAGGGTCTCCATAAATGTGCATTAAGTTTGTAACATTATTAAGTTTTGCTACAACTACAGAACATATACTATGCAAAATGGGTAGGGTAACACCTTGACTTTTTAGATTAGGTATTTTTGTGTCTGAATTGAAAACTCTTCTTTTCATCTCCATTGCCGTATTTTCATTTCACTTAAAAATACCCCAAAACAGAATAGTAAAGGTAGATCAAATCTCTTAAGTAATGCAGCATTGAAATAGAGAAGGAAGCTCTAAGACAACCTAAGTACAATTTCACTTTCCCAACGGAGTCAAAGGTCTGTGTGGTCAGTGTGTGCAATTCATCTGGGCAGCCCTGCACCTGAGCTGGGGAGCTTTATGCTATTTTTCAACTCTAGTCAGTAGTATTGGCACTCATTCTATCCTATTTTGTGGCAGGGCAAATATTTGCATCAAATATAGTAATTTCTGAGTCTAATAATGATCAAGATTAGGTGATAGCCTAGGAAAGTTTCTATAATAATTATATTGCAAACTTACCTCTTCTGTTTCAGCAAGGAAAAGATTCCTGTAACTGTTCCAAGAAATATGTTTTCTAATAACAGAGGTGACTCTATCAGTATCTTTGTCTGTTAGGTAATATAAGTCCTTTTATTCTTTTTGCCATGTCAGAGCCTTATCTAGAGGAAATGCCTGCATATGAAACCTCTCACATTTCCCGATTCCTCTCCAACAACAGAGTTAATTTGGATGCCTACCATTCAGCCATATTGGAAAGTGACGATGAGAAAGCAGATGGGGGATCAGAAGGCCCCTGATTAGCAGGCAGAAGCTCCCAGAGCTGGCGTGGGAGTGGAATGTGGGGGTCTAGGCGTCTACCTGTAACATCGACATCACTGGTGTGGACATTCCTCTCCGTATAGCCATGTTTCTCTCTGCTGCCGCCCTGTTCTCCTGCAGCTAACTGTACTGAAAATCGTCTCACAGTGCAAACAAAACTCTTCTACATAAGCAGACGTAAGTACTGGATATTCCTCAGAAATCCACTTTCACCAAGAAAAGACCCTGCAGAGGTGAGTTACACACTATAAGATGCTGTAACAGGCTTCGGAAGATAAATCACAGGTTCAGCAGCATTTACTACCACTGCTGACAGTTTTGCAACAGAATATGAAGCAACCAGTTCTTTTATTCAGTTTAAACTGATACAATCCAACCCTCCCCAAAACCTGCTGGATGGCAGAGATTCAGACATGGCTTCTCAGGGTGAGGACGGAATCCCCACAGGGAACGTCCCACTGAAATAGTCTGAAAACTTCCCCTGCCTCCTCTACCACCATGTCCTTTTAACCCCTTATATACTCAGCTACAATATATCATAGTTGTCTCATGCCACTTGGTGCTACCCCAAACCACCTTCAAATAAGTTGGTTCAAATATTACAAAATTATTGATGGGGAAATATTCAAGAACTTCAACAGGTGATTAAATCTTGCTTTATTAGAAATTATCATGACCCAAGAATAAATGTAAAATTTGAATAATGCTCAAAACCCCAACCTCTAGAACCATTTAAACATTTACTAATAAATTTCCTTCATTTGACCAAATCCTAAAGCTTTAATATATTTTAGAATTTTTACATAGTTTCTTATTGGGCTAAAGCTTTCCCTAACTTTTTTCCTTTTACTCCTAAATTATTCCAGTTTGGAATTTAGAGTTTCTCTAAACTCTCCAAACACAATTGGTGAGGCAGATTCATATATTCTGTGATATTTTCTGCATTTAAATCTCAGTGAACTTTGGAAGTTCTCTCTTATGGTATTAATTCTACTGTACCAATATTTGCTTCCAGTTACCAAAAGGTGATAAGAAGTCAAATATGTCTAAATACATAAGCTAGAGAAGAATATTGATATAATTTTCTTACATTTAATTTTTTTCTCCATACATTAATATTCCTGGCCTTAAAAAGTAAAAGAGAATTCACTATTTTTTAAAAAGTAGACTAAGTATTCTGATAATTTAGTTGTCCCACATTCTAATGTAGAATCTCAACTTTAGAAGATATGCTTTTCCATGAAATTTTGCTTGTTTTCAGAGCTATAATTTGAACAATTATGATTTTTCTATCAAATTTCTAATTGGGAAATTTTTATGAGTATTTCCTTCATCAAACCACATATTTTAAAAGGAAATCCCCAGTCCAACAGCATCCATTTCCCCTCACCTGGGCCCATTCTTCCGCAGGGCCCTCCACATGGCGTCCTTCACCTGAGCATTCCTCAGGCTGTAGATGACGGGGTTCAGCATGGGGTTAAAGAGACTGTGAAACAGGGACAGCATTTTCTCCTGCTCCTCTCGCTGACTGGAGTCTGGGACCACATACACCACCACGGCTATGCCAAAGAAGAGCCCGACCACACAGAGGTGCGAGGAGCAGGTGGAGAAGGCCTTTCTGCGGCCCTCCCCTGACTGGATCGTCAGGATGGCAGAAAGGATGTGTGTGTAGGAGACCAGCACCAGGCAGAGGGGCCCCACTAAGACAAACACACAGGCAACGAAGATGACAACTTGGTTGAGCCTAGTGTCAGCACAGGCCAGCTTGAGGACAGACAGGATTTCACAGAAGAGGTGGTTCACTTCCTGGGGCCCACAGAAGGGCAGCCTTAGAAGGAGAGTCACATGTACCAGAGAGATGATAAATCCACATGACCAGGAAGTGACGGCCAGGACCGTGCACACTCTCCAGCTCATGATGACAGTGTAATGGAGGGGGTGGCAGATGGCCACAAACCTATCATAGGACATCGCCACCAAAATCAGGCACTCTGTGTGAGCAAAAACCATATACAAAAACGTCTGCATTATGCACAGGACAAAGGAGATGGTTCTATTCTGGCTCACTAAGGTTGCCAGCATCTTGGGGACGTTGTTGGAAGCATAGGACATGTCAATGACGGCCAGGTGTGAGAGGAAGAAGTACATGGGGGTGTGCAGTCTGGGATCCAGACAGATGAGTCCCAGGATCGTGCCGTTTGCCAACAGACTGAAGATATAGAACAGTAAGAAGATCCAGAAGAGTAGTCCCTCCATCTCTGCACTGAGCTGGAATCCGATCAGGGTGAATTCTCTGACCCAGGACTGGTTCCCACCCATTCCTTAATGACAGTCTCTCAAGGGCAGAAAGGTGACAGAAAGATCAGAACTAAGAATCAATAAAAATTGGAGTTATCTCAAAATGAGCTCAAAGAAAGCTTGTATGTATCCTTGTCCTACTTGAAAGCTTTTCCCACTGCCCAAAATTGGTTACCTGTTTTTAACTCAATATGAAATAAATTTAAACTTATAGAAAAGCGTTGAGAATTATGCAAAGAACTCCCATATACCCATACACCAGATTCAACAAATTTTAATGTTTCTTTCATATTTGCCTTATCATTCTCTTTTCCTCTATATTATATATTAGTGTATTTTCTGAACCATTTGAGATTAAAATGTAGACATGATGCTAGTTTACCTTTTGTTCATTTAGAAACATATCAGGAATTATTTTCCATGTTAAAATATTTCTATGCAACATGCTTTGAACAGCTGCATATGATTTCCTTGAATATAAATATTTTAATGCATTTAATGTATTACCTCACTAGGTTTGTACAATATAATGCTTCATTGATTAAATCTTTTGTTTTTAAACTTTATTGGGGAACAGCCATGGTCATTGGTTACACATTGCTTTCATGCTACAATGGCACAGTTGACTCTTTTAAGGAGAGCGCAGCTCACAGTGGCCCATGCAGGGATCGAACTGGCAACCTTGGTGTTATGAGCACCAAGCTCTAGCCAACTGAGCTTACTGGTCACCCCTGATTAAATCTTATACATGTGTATTTTTGTGGGTTTTTCATGAATCCTTATAGTAAATTCTGAGATTTGAAAGTGCTCAGTCTAATCAATCATACAATTTATGCATCTATGTTTATGTATTTCTCTACCTCTAGTCATCTAAAAATCAAACAAGCCAAAACCTAAGTATCTGAAGACTTATTTCTGTCAGAAACCACCCAGTGGGACAGGTGTCTAACTTGACAGTCACGACTCCATAATCTTAAATTCACCTTTGCTATGTGGTCCTACTTTGATGTCTGCTCCTCCAGTGCTGGCTGCCAAAGGTACATGGATTCTCCTTTAATGCTCTGGTGAAGGCCGGCCGAACACCAACTTCCTTTAGTTCGTTCTTATCACAGATTGATATTGAATACTGAGAAAGAAGAAAAATGTCAAATGGAAATTAATAGTCCCCAAAGATTAAGTACAACCTGACTTACAATGTGTGTAGCTATTCAGTTACCAGGCTAAAATCCTCTTATCCTTCTCCTTATCCTTATCATTCTACCTGCTACCTGAACTATCTGCCCTTTAATTTGAAGGAATAGATACAATTTTATGCGACATTTGTGTTTCTTTTTTTTGTTTGTCTTGTTGTTTTTTTTGTTTTATATAGCATTTATTGGCATTTGCTGTGCATGGTAGTATGGTTTTGTGATTTGCAGGCACTTTACATCTAGAAGCGATGGTTGGCCTTGATCAGCACGTGCTGATGCTGCGATTGGATGGTGCCTGTTGGCCAACGTTAAGACCCGCTGCCATTAGAACTGCAGAACATTCCTGACTACTTCCACATCGTGGCTATCCGGGGGTGGCTTCCTCTGACTCCCAGGTTGCAGGAACTTCTTAATTGTAGGGATGTTGCTGATTCTTGTTTTAAATGCCTTTAGCAGAGGGAGTCAGAAAGAACAGAAGCATTGATTTCTTCGGTCATTAAAATAGCTTCTAACAGTTGTATGTATGCCCAACTGAATTTGTTTCCAACGAGAAAATCACCTCCACACTGCTTCAAAATCTTTTCAAAGATGGGGAAGTAATGCGTTTTTGCTTTTGTCACGGCTAAAGCAAAGCCCTCCTCTTTTTCTCGTGGAGGTTTGAACACAGCTTGGATGATGATCATCATGAGGTCCTGAGTGCCATCAGTGTACATGTGGATCCTGGCGGTCTCGTTCAGGTCCCTCCTGTACAAGTTGTACTTGGCACCAAGATAGCCGAGGATGGCTTTAGTCTGTGTCAGCCTCATTCCATCAATTTCAACCAGGGGCACCTGGTTAAAAAGCAGGCGTCCATCTGTCATTAACTTCTCATACTGCTGTCTTGTTTCAATAAATTCTTCTTCAAACTCCGCTCCAGCTGCAGCCAGCAACCAGTGGATCGAATCCATCCTGCCCCTACCACGAAAGTAGCAGAGCTTGGGTTTGGCTGTCATGACTTCTAGCTCAGGGTTTTCTTATCTCTTCCTTGCTCTTGTCTCCTGTGATGTATGTCTGTGTTTCTTATTCTCCAGGTTCCATGTGGTTCCAGGTGAAAAGAACTATCCTAACACCCTATTCAGATTTCCCCCCTAGACATCCTTATATCTATATTATTAAGAACAAGAGATACAGATTTTCTCATGTTGTATCTAATCTATTGTTTTCCTCTCAGTTCCAGTTTCTGGCTTGAGAGGAACTCCTATTTTCCGGGTGAATAGCATCCGTGATTACATGACTCTTCACTATATATATTAACAAAAAGGGGAGGAGGGCGGTAACCTATGCAGGAATTATAAGGTAAACAATATTCTAATATATAATTAATGCCATATCCCTTAAACATGTTGCATAAATATAATGACGTTGTATCACACACACGGCCCACAGTAAGGTTTCAATAGGGCAGGCAATGCAGTCCCAACTAATTATGAGTGAAATCTCTTCAGATAATGGATATAACTTTAGTTCACACATTGTTTTAATGCGTATGAGTGTAAGATGAATTCAGTAATTTTCACACTGCTGAGGACTGCTGTACGTATACCCCTGTGGACGGTATCAGGCTTAGGTAAACGTGAATTCTCAGGCTGGTATATATGGAGTTGGAAAATGCAAATGGGTCATTCAAAACTACGAGCGTGGTTACAAACTGTGCCTCTTACAGCCCTCACTGTCTAAGGCTGAAGGGTGTGCAGGGCAGGCACAGTCCTCCTCATTTGAGTCCTCTTACCGCAGTGCACAACCAGGTACTGCAAAAGGGAATGGGGCAGCCTCTGTATCCTCTCGAGGACTCCTTAAAAGGCTGTTTGTCAGAGAGCTTATAAAGAGGGTCTTTTCTACTCTTGGGAGATAGAATAGATTCGTATTGACGGGGAAGAGGGGGGCGCTCTTCAGGTGCCTATTAAATGTATAGGCTGGTCAAGAATAACAATTAAAAGAGTTATCTCCTCACTGGGAAGATATGGATAACCCTTAAGATAAAATTAAAGATAAAAAGGGGTTTATACCAAATGTCATTTATTTGAGCTAAGATTCCCTTTCACCAAATAAGTCTTACAGATGGTTGATATGTCTTACACATCTTTATGTTTCATAGTTACTAGTACAGTTTTAGATGAAACAAGTACTCAGGAAATGTTTGTGAAATAGATGATTGTCATTTTTAATTCAAAAAATGTCTATGCTAAGCACCTTCTATTGGCCAAGACATGGTTTCTATTTCATTAGAAAAGTTTGCAGTTAGAATCTGACCACTGGAAAATAAAACAGAGACAAAATCATAGATTTTCACCTCCATAAATAAGTGCATTTCATTTCTATGAAAATGTGCATTAAGTTTGTGACATTAATTTTGGCTACGCTTAAAGAATATTCCTATATTATATAACATGAGAGATAGCAACATCGGAATTGAAAAATTCTACACAGACACAGTGGGACACAATAAGCAATGTCTGAAACACATTTGAACATAAAGAATAATAATATTGTTGAGGGTAACTCAATCTATTCTTCTTCAGTAAGAACATTTATTAACTTTTTAGTCTAGTACTTTTTGTGACTGAGTTAATAGATATATTATCTTCTTTTCATTTTCATTACCATTATCATTTTGCTGTTAAAAAATAAACAGCATAAAAATACAATTAAAGATAGATTAAGATTCTAAAGCAGAGGCAGTACTGGAATACAGAAGAAAATACTGCATTAGTGATACCTAAAATTTCACTTTGCATGGTCAGTCTGAGCGATGCTTTACCTGGGCAGTCCTGCAGGTAACTCAGGGTGTTTCCTGCTCTATAGAACTTTGTTCTATGTCTCCAACTCTTGTCAGGAGTCTTGGTACTCATTGTATCCTATTTTGTGACAGGAAAGATTTTGATATAAACTACTGTAATCACAAGTCTGATAATCATCACAATTAGTTGATAACCTGGGCTGGTTAAGAAAAGGAATAACCATATGACAAACTTACATCTTACACTGTTTCAGCAAAGAAATGATTTACTATAATGTTACCAGAATTTTCTTTTCCATTGAGAGAACTTTCTCTGGATTGCGATCTTCATTTAGGCAAGGTAACATATTAAGTCACTAAGTTGGCTATATCAGAGCCTTGCTCAGAGACAGTGCCTGGATATCTAGCCTCTCATCCTCGGCGCCCCTTCTTATAGCCACACCTGCGCTAGCTCTGGCCCCACCACTCAGTTACACTGGTGATGATGAGAGAGATGCTGAGGGCCCCTGCCCACAGCACCACAGGCAGATGTTCCCTAAGGTGGGGCGGGAAGAAATTAGGGGCCTTTTATATCTACCTGCAATGCACAGTATCAATCAGGAGGAAAGGTCACCCAGGAATGGCATTCCTGTCCACACAGCCATGGCAGTTTCTGCAGCTGTCCTGTCCTATATCAACTCCCCATGCTAGAAACTACCTCCCAGCATGAATCCATCTCTTCTGCTCACACTGGATTTTCTCACAAGTATCTGCTTTGACCTAGAATAACCCCACAGAGGTGAGAGACGTACCTCTAAAATGGGGTAGTGTCCTGCTCCCTTAGCAGCTTGCGGAGGGCTAAATCCAGATACAGGAGGACCCACAGGACTTGCTGAGGGCTCTCCAAAATCCCCAGGAGCACGGCTTTGATTTTAGAATCAGGTGAATTAAAAACATTCTTGAGTTTCTATTAAGAATTCAAATTCCCAGAAAGATCATAAGATATCCTGCCTAGTTATCTTCTCCCTGGGGGACAGGAGTGAGGGGTGGGGATGGTGAATGTTCTCTCTAGAGATTGGGTCTGATTGGCCTTGGAGGAAAAATTCTAAAAAACAGGCAGGGCAGATAGTGTCATTTTACTGTCTCTACACAAACTTCCAGATATCTCAAGGGTTTTAAACCTGAGACAGACGTCACAAATTACAGTACCCAAAGTCTTAAAATTATTAGTCCTATGAAGTCATGCTTCTCTACAATCCCCATGAAGGTATATGCGGCTGGGATTTCGATGGTGGGGAGAGCGCTCCCATGGAATCTATTATGGTAACCCTGAGTGGGAACATCCCCCAAGCGGAGATGTGCCTCTATCTGCAGTAAAGGCTGAGAGATACACAAGGGGAAGGAGGATAATAACCATAAGCAACAATTATTGAGCCCTTCTTAGGTTTCAGAAAATGCTTTCTATTCACCCCATAGTTTAAGCCCATCATTATCTTCACTCTATGGATGTGGACACTAAAGTTTAAGTAGACTGTTATTGATTCTTTCAGTGTGTTCCAGGGGCCACTGGGAATCTCTGAGAACCTTTCAAAGGGTCTATGGGATCAAAACTATTTTCACAATAATAATTAGACACTTTTTGCCTTTTTCATTCTCACTCTCTCAAGAGTGCACAGTGGAATTTTCTGGAGGCAACACTCTGGAGCAATGTGATATTTCAACAGACATAATGCAGAAGTTATAGAATCTTCTCTTAAGCCAAACACCTAAAATCTTTTAAAAATGTAAAACATAGCTACTCTTTTCCCAATTTTTATGTTTTATAAATGATAGTTATTGGGTCATCGGGAAAGTCATGACGTATTTTTCTATGTTTTCCAATGCAAAAATGTGTCATGACTTTCCCGACAACCCAATATTTATCATAAAAATATATCTTTATATTAACATATAATGGAAATATTTCTAAGTGAATTAAAAGTAAATATTTAATAAATTCTCAGTTTTAATTTCTAATAGAATACATATCAACAAACATAACCACATAAATAACATGTCTTTGGGTCCTTAGTAACTTTTAAGAATTCAAAGGGGTTCTGAGACCAAAAAGTTAATACT